CTCAGAGGCTCCTCCAGCTCCCGCTGCCAGCACAGCTGAGCGCTCGTTAAGCAGCCAACGCCCAACCACCACAGCAAATTCAGCACCCGTGCCCATGCGAGAGAGGAACAGGAAAAAAGTGGAGCAGGGAGAAAAAAATAATACATATTGATAAATTAATTAATATAGAAGGGCTTTGATTTTGTTACACAAAAGGCAGAGAATTTCCCCCTCTTTGTCCAGGGTGGGCTGGGGCTGACAACCAGAGGCTGAAGGGGTGAGGTGCGGTGTTCTCTGCTGAGGCAGATGACGTGGGTGGCCTGTCTGTGGTGATACAGGACTCAAAAAGAGGATGAAAGTGGCCATTTAATTCATCCCACATTAGGGATGGGTACAATGCCCCCTCCCCAGACACTGGACAAGCCTGGTTACCGTGCCTCAGTCAGATGAGAGCAAACTGGGGAGCAGCAGAGCTGCTCTACAGATGTCTTCTCTTGAGCTAGAAACCTAAGAACATCTCCGAGATCAGCATTAAATGGCTTAATGTTTCCTATGGCAGCTGTCTTGTGCTTTCAGCTTGGTTTCCTGGGGAGATAGGGTCACTGTAGTCACAGAATCACACAAAATCACAGCATAGCAGGGGTTGGAAGGGACATCGGGAGATCACTCAGTCCAACCCCCTTGCTCAAGCAGGCTCACCCAGAACAGGGTGCACAGGACATCATCCAGGAGGGCTTTGAATATCTCCAGAGAAGGAGACTCTACAGCCTCCCTGGGAAGCCTCTGCCAGGGCTCAGGCACCCTCAAAGTAAAGAAGTTTTTCCTCACATTCAACTGGAACCTCTTCTGCTTCCATTTGTGCCCATTGCCCTTTGTCCTGGCGCTGGGCACCACTGAGAAGAGTCTGGCTCCGTCCTCGTGACATCCACCCTTAAGGTATTTGTATGTGTTGATGAGATCCCCTCTCAGTCTTCTCTTCCTCAGGCTAAACAAGCCCAGCTCCCTCAGCCTTTCCTCGTAGGGGAGATGCTCCAGTCCCCTCATCACCTTTGTAGCCCTCCTCTGGACTCTTTCTAGGAGTTCCTCATCTTTCTTGAACTGGGGAGCCCAGAACTGGATGCAGTACTCCAGGTGGGGTCTCACTGGGGCGAGTGAGTGAGTAGTCACTGCCTGGCTTTACTTTTCTCCAGTAACTGCTTCCATTTCTCAACCCATGAGCCAAGCTCAGCTATGTCAGACATGCAGGTGGCGCCTCACGGATTCCTACACATTTCACAAAAACAGGTAGGAGATGAGAGACTTTATCAGTGGTCTCAGCAATAGAAGAGCTTTATTGTAAAAACTTGCCCACACTCAGAGAACGTTTTGGGTAGAAACTCTTTGAATGATCTAGTAACAGGGAAGATACCAGCCAGCCAGCCAGCGTGGGAATCCCCAGCAGCCAGAACCAAACTTTGCTTCAGTTCTGCTGCTTATGGAGTCCCTCACTTGTCACCCACAGACGGGCCAGCGATCCAGCCTTCCCGAGTTCTTTCTCAGCTACCTCCAGAAGAAGCACGGAGCTGCCGCTGCCATAGAATGGTCTTACACCCTCTACGAGAACATGCGACTCTGCCGATCAAACCACATCCTGAGCTCATTCTACGACATACTCACTGGGAAGGTAGGCAATCTCCGACCCAACACTGCTCCTCCGCCCTGGCAGCAGGCAAGGGAAGCCATCCTCTGCAAAGCAGCTTTGCCCCCCATTCCTCCCCCCAGAAAGCGTCACTTTTTCACGAGAATAAAAGTAAAGACTGACCCACACCGGGGAATCCTGTCTATGCAGCTCACAGCAGGCTCTTAGAGAGCTCCAGAGAGCTTCTAGACAAACCCATTTCTTTCAAACACTTCAGTCCTGTCCTATCTGCTCTCTCCGATGGCAGGCTTCTGTTTGCAAGAGGCTTCTGTTTGCCAAGCCCTTATGAGAGCCTTTAGCTCTCAGCAGGTCTTCCTGAAACAGCTCGTGGTCTGTTTCCATGCCGTGGTTGGGAAGATCCAGGCACAACCTCCAAACTGGAGCACTGCGTAGGCCCTGGCAGCAGCCTCACTCCCCGCTCCCCAGGGCTGGAGAGCCCTAGCGATGTGGCTACATGCTTCCATCTCCCGTAACACAGAGACATGCAGCCCCCCAGCCCTCTTGTACTCACCCTACTTTGGTCTTGCTTGGCGATGGAGAAGTGGCCGGGACCATGTGCCACCCTCTGGGCAGCAAGGCTGCCGCCATTCTGGGTATCCAGGGTGTGCATCTGCACCTGAGGGTTTAGCAGTTTATGTTACTGGCTGTGAACAGCCACCCCGCAAGCCACTGCGCTGCTTGCGTAATTATTTGTAAATCCCTAAAAGCCACTCAGGTAGAAGGTGCTTTAGAAGCGAGCATGGTCCTTTTACAGTTCTGCTTCCCCCCCAAAGATAGTCCAAGGAACAGAGTGGGCAGGCACTGACCTGGGGACCTTCCCTGCTTCACAGGTGGGTGAAGAACAGTACCATGCCCAGAACCGGCTCGTTTC